TTTTTCTCATGCTCAGACCTTCGCGCTATATACTGATCGATAGGAGCGCGTAGGCTTGGGTATACAAAGTTCTTAAAGCAAAATGGCGGCCTTCGCAACATCAGTACAAAAAATATCACCGATATGGTGGAAAAACCGCCCCCATCCCCTCCAAAAATACTGTTAAAAAATTAAAAAACGAGTAAAAATTAAAAAAAAAATCCGCCCGCCCGCCTCTGAAAATTTGTGAGAGTGTGACGCTAACCAAGTATTTTTTTTTATTTGGCCTAATGCCATGCTATTACTTTGTAATATCATAGTTGCCGAGGGAATCGCGCGTGGTGTGTTGCCTGTTTTGAATGCTGTTTGATTGTCTTATGATTGTAGTACGAACACTTTTCATATATACGCACGCGCAGAAACACATCTCCGTGTTCATTCGTTTTAGGCATGCGCATAAACAGAATTTTCTCCCACAATTGTAATGTTCAAGATTAGGGAATAAAAGCTGGCAAAGTGATTGTTCGAATGTGTACGGGACGGTGTCGTCAGATACTGTCTATATAGTTGTGCCGATGATTTTCGATGAGGTACAGCCTATGGGTACAGCTCTCCAATCAGAGGTACGTACGCTTTTGTCTTCTAAATTTCCCTCATCAAGCATGCAGGGGAAAATTAGAAGACAAAGAAACCTTTGTTTTCAACTAAATTTCCCGGGGAAATTTAGTTGAAAACAAAGGATTTCTTTGTCTTCTAATTTTCCCCTGCATGCTTGATGAGGGAAATTTAGAAGACAAAAGTGTCTGCATGGGTAATGAGGTGATTAATCGTACCTCGCGAGACAAAGGATTTCGAGGCAACTATGGTATTACTTTATTTAAATTTCACAACAACAGTAATGTTTCATCAATGATTTCATAATGGTGTAACCACCACGCTTCTGGATTACCTCAAGACATCGCGTCTCCTCATGTTGAGGAGTCTGCTCACCTGCTGTTGAGATATAGCCATCCATTTCTCCTGCAACAATTGAGCCAAGTCAGCCCGCGTGCAGTATTCTTTGAACCGGCGATAGACATACCACTTTTGCTGGTACCGAAGATACTCAATTGGGTTGAGATCTGGCAAGTTTGCAGGCCACATCATTCTCTTTCTGAGGAGACGATGCTGAATTAAGTTATTGAAAAGCGTGGTGTTTACACCCATTATGAAATCATTGATGAAACATTACTGTTGTTGTGAAATTTAAATAAAGTAATTCTTGTTAATTTTGAAATTGGGTATTCATTGGAGGACTGGAGGTTAGCTGGTTAGGTGACCATAACTTCCTTCAAACAGCATAAAGCTAACTACCATAGGTCTAACTACTCCTAGGTTTGATTGTAACGTAATCATTTATTTAGAACTTATGATGATATATTTAGAGGGGAACTTTCTTTTTGTGTTGTGTTTATATGAAGTTTAGGTCTAACCTGGTCGGATCTAAGATTGTATATATATTTTCCTTCGAAAATTCCATCTACAAAACTCGAAAAAATAGACATATATAAAACTTTAAAATTTTAACGTTATATTTCGGCTGTATTGCATGCATGTGTGCTGCATTTTTCGCAGTCGTTCCTGGTCAGGTCTTAAAGTGTATATATACTCACTAATTGGGTTACAAACCCTAAAAACAGCATTCTAATAAATTAGGAACTGCATGGGATTTGCCTATTTTTGGACTGGGAAAGTGAGATTTGGCATGGGTTACTGCAGGGACTGGGAATGACAGACAAAAATGGGAATGGGAAAACCATTACGAAGGCAGAGTTAAATAACCTTAAAAAAGCTACGGAGCAACTGGGGTCTTCTTTAATTCAATTTCACATTTGAGACTGGTATTTAGTTGGTGGGAAATGAGATTTAGAGAAAAAATGGCTAGGAAATGGGATGTAGACTCTCTCCAATACACTCCTCTTGAGTTCCTAAGGTGATACTTTTCAGAGCAGGTTTTTTCCTTTTTATACTTTTTACAATTGTCTAATGGCAAAGACTATAAAGGATCCGGATTTTTCTTTACTGTAGATAAAACAAACATGTCGTTGACTGGAATACTACTTGATGTTTCTGGCTCTATGAAGAGAAACATTGGAAGCGGTACTGATGTAAAAGGCGGACTATGGGCTCAGTCTATTTTCAACGTTATCGATGACCTTATTGAACATGATCTTACGTCTGAGAATCGTGTTTTTGCTATAGGCGTCGGAGCAGAATGTCCCGGCAAAGAAATATTTGATGTCATTGCAACTCTTCAGCAATTTGAAAATACGAACAGGCCTGCAACTGAACGCCATATCAACGAGATCTTTGATATTCTCGAGAGAAACGGTGCACCCAACATACGTAATTGGGCCTGCAATGTTAAACTGTTTCAAGACGTACTATCTGACTATATAGCAACACTGATTCTGCAAAAATTTGAGTCGGACAAACAGTTTGCCAAAATATTTGTGGACTATTTTTTACCATGCGATTGTCGAGACAAAATATCAACAGCACCTGATGATGGCGGCGTGCTATCTGATCTATCTAGATCAGCTACGAAAGAGGATATCGAAGAAATTGTAAGAAAAGCAAAATGCTATATTTTACAAGACAAAAAAGATGCCTCTCGCATTTTAAAAGACGTAGGAACCAACTCTATATTTAGTGTGCAAGATGCCTCCCTCATTATCCGTGGATGCGTTGATAAAAAGAAACTTAACGAACTTTCTGAACAGCGGAAGCAAGAGTTACTTGATAACGTCGAGCCTTTCATTTATGGTGAAACGCCGTTGTGTGGATCTCTCGAAAAGGCGATAAAGCTTTTTGAAAGAGACACGTTCGAGAACAAATTGCTTTTCGTGCTATCAGGTGGAGACCTTACAGACGGCAGTATTAAAGATATCGCCAAGATCAACCAAATTACCTCCAAACTAACAAATGCAGGCGTCAAAATAGTATCTTGTTTTATCACTAGATCCACAGATATTCATCCGAAACGTTTGTACGACACGATGTCACCTGATTGGGAACCTGGTGCCAAGTTTCTGTTTTTGTTGAGCTCTGAAGTACGAACACAGGATCTAGTGGCACGAGCAATCTTGCTCAAACGTGGTTGGGCGATCGACATCGCCAACAATGAAACAAAGTTGTTCATGCAAGTCAATCATCCAGACAACGTAAGGTATTAACTTCAACAAAGCCTCTCTTAGGAAATCATTAGTGGGAGTGGGCACCAAGAAAAATGGGCTCACTGGGCGGTCTAAACGGGTAAGGTAAGAATTAGTAGGGGGTCTGGAAATCCTACCCTCGGAAAACGTGTTTAAGTTGATTCTTTTTGGATGTTCTTGATTAATTTGGTTAAGGTTAGGGGTTGGAGTAAGAGTCTGGTTTGAGTTAGTTATATAGCCATTTAACACCTCTTCCGACAATGACAAGGCATTTTTTAATACCATGGACTGGTGGGGCATTTTCCCCACTAGGCCCCTTCCTCTGCCCCACCACTGAAGAAAAAAATGGCCTATTGCCCCAAAGCCCAGGGCCCTAGGACCTGTATTGAGTAAATGAGGTTAACATTGAGAATAAGTTTAAAAAACAAAATTTGTTGGTGAGCATACTTTAAATAAACTTATGTTGTGTTTGAATGTTTAGCATGCAATTTATTACAAATTTCAGCATTAAAACTTTGTTTTGAGAAGCGCGATATATTTTTAAAACGTGTTCTCAGAATGCAGGAAATGCTATTTCAGAGACCCAAATTTTAAAAATTCCTGGGGGTCATGCCCCCAGCTTTAACTCCCTAATCAACTTGTGCCTGTGATGCAAATTTTTTTCCTTAGACAGTCGGACTCCTCATTGATGATCATAGATAGCCGGACGCATCATTGATCCGCGTCCAGGTCTCCGCGCGTTATCGATTGATCCCTTCGTACCATGCGTAACCAACTGGTACACCATATATCTATCACTCCACCGTTATTCTTCTTCGACCACGTGTAAAAAGATGGACGATTTGCTTTGCGATATCACAGTAAATCTACAAACTTGTTTTTTTCTGGTTCTGTGAATACTCAAGAATCGTTATTGCGAGTTAAAACTATATATCATCCCAATTGAAGAGAGGACGTATTGCAGAATACCCGCCCACTAGTACTTATTAATAATAGTAATATCATATCGTGTAGCCCGGCCACTATTTCACTGGATACGTGTACTAGTATCCAGATCTTATTGCCTCCTATCCAGATCTTATTATTTGTTCAAAATTATGGAATCAAAAACGATGAAACTTGCAAAAGCAAAGAAAAGAGTTACAAAAAGGAGTTACAAAAGCAAAGAAAAGCAAGTGGGAATTGCGAAATATATAACTTAATAAAATATGTCAGATGTGATCACCACACAAGATATGAAGCCACAATGTTTACTGCTCAGATTTTGGCATCTGAACCAACCAGTATTTTGAAATTACCAATTGCGCGCGCAAGACACACTGGGAAGCGCATCAAATATTAAATCCGCTGAATGTTTTGATTAAGGGTGCGTGCATAGACAATCCAGAAGACATCTGTCTATGACAGGTGTCTTCTGGATTGTCTATGGTGCGTGTTAACGATGTGTCCGACTATCAATGAGGAGTCGGACTGTCTACGGAAAAAAATTACTTCTGCGATCGCATACTATGCTGGGGGGAGGGCAAGGAAAATGGGCCCTTTGGCAGTTTTGCCCCACCACTGAAGAATCCTTAAAAAATGCACTGGACAATGACGTCATGTCAGTTTGGTTTGGTCGGAAATGAGTACTGACCGACATGAGATGGGCGATTAGCAAAATGCTAACTTTTTATGAAATTACTTTCAGGGAAGCATGCGAAATGGCCAAAAGTGTTGTCTGTAGTTCAGATGCGCTGTCTGAATTATTGGTATCTGCTCACCTCAACGTGTATATCAACCGAACCACAAGTGGTGTTAGAGCTAAGGATCAAGAGAAAGATTTGACATGCTATGCCATTGCATCCGCTGTTGTGCTCCATTTGGCAATGCAACGAATTCATGGTCGAGAAGGAGAATATCCTAGTTTTGATGAATTAAAAGATGAAATGATTCGCGAGCATGGGATACGCCGTGCTCATACTAGTGAAGTTCTGCAGAAAATATGCCCGAAGTATCGCTTACACTACCGCAAAGTCGGCATCAAGGGGGCAAAGCTAGCCATTGTCAACAAACGTCCCGTGGTAGCAAAATTTTATCTCACGGGCGACGAATGGGATGCGTTTGAAAATTTCTACGACACAAATCCAGATGGTATACTTACGCAGAATGATCTTGATGTTCGTAAGCGTCCTACAAGTCCTCCGCCTGGCACTTCTGGCCATGCCGTCGTTATGACCAGTTACAACAGCAAGTGTTTAACCTTCACGAATTCCTGGGGAGAAGAATGGGCAGACAAAGGATTCTTCAGAGTACAAAATGCAGACGTACTTGGTGATCAGCTAGAATTCTTCGATGTTTACTGGGAGTTGGATGATCTCACTGAAAAAGAGCAAGAGAAGTACCGAAAGTATGGATCCGAAGTAGCCAAAAGGTTGATAGAGTTCTTAGAAGGTCTGGAATTTGCGAAATACACGTGCCCAGAATGTGAGCAAACGTCGTTGGTTACTGAATTTACTGGAACGCTGTCGAAAGTTCAGTGTCCGAAATGTTTCCGTGACTTTTCAACCAGTGATAACGCGGGGAACATTCTGGCTCTGAATGTGTACTTGACATCTCTGAGCAGATAAGTATGCTCTGAATATTCTGCGATTCTACCGACTGAATAAGTAATTAATGTTCAATGGTAGCGTTCGTAACACACTAATTGCAGTCTGATGGATAATTTCGAGCTTGCTTCTAGCTATAAAATGCGTGATTTATGCTTGAATGGTGAGGACTTGTTCAACGGTTCCCCTTATCGGTTCACACTCAGATTGCTCTGTTGTTTAACTTAACAATGTTTGAACTAAATGTCTGAACAAATGTTGTGTAAAATTTGATAACATATGTGAATCAAGAGTCATCATAAGCTAGAACTGCTCATTTGAACAGGAAAATAGACAATGAGGATAAACTGCTGGAAATTTGGGGCTTTTCCATTTAATTAATACAGTATACATACCCCTATTCTGGAAGCCTGAAATTCTTAAGAGTTCATCAAATATGAATGTGAGCTTCTTGAACCATGATTTTATATTTAGTTTTAGAAATATCTACTTATAACGTTATGATGATTTGTTTGGAGGTGTCGCTGAAGAGTAGCGTGTTTCGCGTCAAATTTGTGACGCCTCTCCACCTGTTTAACTCGCAGGAATTTTTTTTTAAATAAATTGTAGTTAACTAGGACTTACTTTCTTCTGTAAAGTTACTTTGTTTTGTTTACGGGCAGTGCAATTGTCATTTTAAATTTTGTCATTGACATTATGCCCTGAATGTTGCAATGCAGGCCAGCTATATCCTACACTATGTGTATTTGTTTCTATTGATCAATATAAATTTTAGTTTTATCTTCGCATGCGGTTTCTAGTATTCAGAATATTGTGGAGAAAATATTTAAAGTGATTTTTAACCAAATTAAAACAGGGCCGTGCGCAGGAGGGGGGGGGGGGGGG